GTTGCGAAGCAGTCGCTGCATGCCATTGATGGCGTGGTCGGACAGAGTCCGAGGCATCGTGGGCGCGGCCCTTCAGATGCGCGTGGAGTGGCACATTATCCACTGAACGAGGATTGCGGGGTTAGCAGCTCTTCGTCGGATGTTGTAGATAACATCGGAGCTCCAAAGGAGCGGACAGTGAGAGTTACACCAAACGACGCGGAATGCGTGTTCACCCTGGTCTCACAGAAACATGGAACCTCTGTAAAAATGCGACGGTGACGCCGTATGTTGGCTGCAAGGCGCCGGGCGTCGACCCTGATCCAGGGTGTGTCTACCGTAGACGATGGTCGTCAACGGTATGACGGGGGGAGGAAGATGGCGACGTCCGCCTCGAGGCTATGCCTGCAGTAGATGCTCTTCTTGAGCTGGACGTAATGTTCCTTGAAGAGTTCGGCATTGCTTTGAAGGCAGGCGAATTGGCCGAAGTGGTCATTGTACGACCGGACGAGGAGATGCACTCGTCATCGCTTCTGGATGAAGCTGTCTTGGAGGACACCAAGAGAGTGCTGAACGCACGGAGTGTATCGTCGATCCTATGAACCCCTTCTATCTGTATTATCCTTTGGTAAATGAATTTCAAGAAGTCGTCTCCAAAGACCCGCCTTCGGCCCTACCTCCGGACCGAGGTGTGGGTCATGAGATCGACCTGGTTCCGGGAACCCAATACTGCGTAACACACCAATGGCCCCTGCCCAAGGAGCAGTGCGACGTCACTGACGCCTTTTTCCGTGCGAAGCACGACGCAGGGATGGTACGTGAGAGCAAGCCTCCCCATTCGACACCCAGGTTTTGTGCCCGGAAGCCGAACGGCAAGTGGCGTATCGGTCATGCTTACAATAAGCTCAACGCTGTCACCATTCCGGCACAGACGCCGATTCCTAGAAAGGATGTTCTTCAGAACAACGTGGTGGGATGGACGAAGTACAGTTCACTCCATTTGGTCGATGGGAATTAACGATTGCTCATGAGAGCGAGTGAATTCTCGCTAAAAGCGGAGAGTACTTTAAGCTGCATGCTCTGGGAGTGGCTGGTGATACCCCAAGGGCTGTCAGATGCACCAGCAACATTGAACCGGCTTGGGATGCAACCGTTCAGGCCCCACAAGGCGTATGCACAGACATACTTTGACGACATTTTCGTTCATAGTGATGCGGAGCACGGGAGGGTAGATGAGGAGAATCACGTCGTTCATTTAAGAGCGGTGTTCGAGTGCATGCACACGAACAAACTGTACGCCAATGCAAACAAGTGCATCGTTGGCGCAGAAAAAAATTCCTTTTTAGGGTGCTTCCTTGGGAAGCGTGGCCTTTGAGCGGATCCTGCTAATGTCAAGGCCATTGTAGACTGGCCGGTTCCAAAAAAATAGAAGGACTTGCGTAAGTGGCTTGGTCTTGCCAACTACTTGCACAAGTACAGCGTAAATGCAGAAAAGGCCCGGCCATGATACAATCATCTTTAAAAGGATGCGGAATGGTGCTGGAACACCGAACATCAGGAGGCTTCTGGCGGGGCAAAGACAGCCTCCTGCATGCCCCAATACTGGCGCTGACAGACCTTGATCGT